TTTTTTTAAATCGTTGTCATTTGGAAATGAGATCGCACATAAGTATGAATCGAGATCGCGATTTTCTAACGATTAATCGTGCAGCCCTACCTTAACCTGTCATCAATCACAAGAATGTCTGCTTTTCAGCCAGTTTGAAGAACCAGAATCTAAGGTCTTATTTGCCTCACTTCTGAGGTTAAAATCATTCAAGCTGTTACCTCTGTTGAAGTTGGTATAAATAGACAAGGAGCTGGGCTTACAAATACACCAACTCATTCAGTATTCCCTCTCTGTCTCTTTTTGGGTGCAGCAGGGAAGTCTTCGTTAGGTCAGCATATTTCCCTTCTAACTAAACCCCTACTGTGTAAATAATTAAACCGACCCAAGGGAATGTGTAGGGGTGTGGCGAGACTTCAGAGCGCAGACGGATAGGCTTGTTGTCTGTGGTCTTTGATGCAGACATCAAAGTGTCATCTCATTGTATACAGTAAATAGATTTTTTTTTAAACGAGCTAATTTAAGATCAGAAGCTGTGCTTGTGGTGTAATGAGAGGATATTGAATGTGTCAGAGTAACACTCTGATAGTGTATTAGTATAGTAATGCTTTGTAAAGACAATCAAACGAGCTTACATTACTTTGCCTGTGTACATCATTCTTCTTTATAAACTACAGACACCATCAGTATCAGCAATGACATGAGGCTTCCTGCAGTGTCAGGCGTTTTTGTATGCTGGGAGCAAGATGAGAAAAAGCGAGATTGCAGAGGTGCAACAGGTGAAGATGGTAATTCAGTGACTACCCTGGAGATAAGACCTAAGAACTCCTGAGAGCTGCTCATCTTTTTTGCAGTTAAAATGATTATCTGGGGAGCAGTTTTCTCCTATACCTGCTCTTTTTTTAAATTTTTTTTATTCCCCCCTCTTCTCTAACCGCATCCTCAGATATGCCACAGTCGTCATGTCTTCTCACCTTCTGACTTCTTAGACTTCTGTCATTTCTTAGACCCTCAGTCTCTCTCTTTTTTTTCCCTGTCTTCCTCTTTGATCAAGCCTTGACTTTAGTTAAAGCTTCAGCGTCCTACCTTCTTTTCTTATTTTTCTGCCCTCCTGTTCTCCTTTGCTCCTCCATTCTCCTCGTGTTGAGTGTCGCTCATTTACCTAGTATGGGATCAAAGCTTTAACTGAAGAAGTGAGGACTCAAAAGCTGAATTCAGGGACAACAGTGAATAGTTCAGCAGGTCGTATTTGTGACTTGAATGCAGCTGAATTTGGCAGATAGCGTGTCAGAGAGCAGGTCAAGGCTGGCGAGAGTGATGGAGAAGAGGCGCGTGTGCAGTTTGGATTAGTTCAGGTTGTTACTGGAAAGAAGTTAGTAGACCTGAGACACAAAGGGACAAAAGAATTAGTTCTAAGGGTCAGAAAATTCTACATATCAGTTCTGACAAGACTGTAGTTTTTCTACCAGGCAGTACAAAGTCAGAAAGAGGATCGAAGGGCTGGGGTTTATATTGTCCTGGAGCTTGATTTGTCGATGGGTGTCAGGTTTGCAGATGAGTCATAGAAGGGTCAGACTTAGACATGAAAGATGTGCAACTACTGAAGGAATGTGCAATAAAAGAAAAAATGATCACAAAGGGCTTATTCAGCTGTATAATTATAGTAAAATTTGCAGATAAATGGCTCGTAGTTCTTCAGAATCTTCTGCCACATCATCTTAGGAAGAGAAAAGAAGAGACTTTAATAACAATTTATACAGGTCTCTTCGGTGTTTTTGTTGTAGAAGTACGTATTTAGAGAACAATAATTAAATGTTGAAGATGGTAAAGGTTGTTTTTAGGAAGCTCTAGCACTGAAACGTCACGAGCATGTGTATTTTTGCAAGTAAAGCAGTGTGGGGGAGCCTGTTTGCAGCGCTGGAAAGAAGTCAAGGACTGTGAAATAAAAGAAAAGATCCAGTTCAGTGCAAGGATGTGAACACATTACAAATGCATTTCTATCATTTCTTCCATTTTATAGAAGTAGTCTTGAAATAAATGCCTTTCATTACCATATTGTGAAGAAATAACTGAACAAAATATGAAATAATAATGAAGGCCATGAGCATTTCTCCACAAAATGGCGTGCTTCTTTATTTCCCGTATTTTCTTTTTTTATCTTTCAGATCTCACACCAGAGGAGAAGGCCCGAGGGTTGGCCCGGGCTATCCGAAAGCAATCTGGTGAAGTGAGGGAGCGGTGGGAGCGTCTGAAAGGGCACGTGGGCGGTTGGCAGAGTCAGGTGGAGCGAGCCTTGGAGCGACTCCAGGAGCTGCAGAGCTCCATGGACCAGCTTGACCTGCGGCTGACTCGGGCAGAGGAGGCCAAAGCTACCTGGCAGCCTGTGGGCGATCTGCTGATCGACTCTCTGCAGGATCACATCGATAGAACCACGGTGAGTCAGAGGGTCAGATTTTTGCTAATGCACCATAACCATCCCTCTTATACTGTCAGATATGCTCAGTTTGAGTGCTGTTTAACAAATCTTGTTGTTTTCTGTTATAAAATCTTTGAAAATCCTGATTTAAAAAAAGAAGAAGAAATGTTTGATGCTTCACATGGTTTCCCTGGTTCTTTATTTACTTTTTGTGTGTGTGTGTTTTTTTTTAAAGAAAGTGCTACTTCATTTGAGGATATATTCAGTAGTCTTGTTTGTTTACACATCATATTTGAGGATGTCTCGTTTTGCCAAGGAGAACCGGCCGAGAAACGAGCAACAAATTTAATTTAACAAGCAAGAAAAATGAGAGCATCTTCTTGTAAACTGTAAACAACAAATGAAAGAGTCGAGAAGCGGAGGACAAAAGGGCACTGAAAATAGCCAAGTCACGATTCACAGCCTGCATGAGGAAATTCAGCTGTTGCACTTATTTCTCTCTCTGCTGCACCTGAGATCTTAATCACCTGAGGTACAGCCAGTCCGGGCACTCGTATTTCTTTATATCCGTGTCATTTAGCGATCCACTTTAGATTAAATGGTCTATTGATAGATTAGATTGCAACCAGAGCAGCACTTGTCTCTAATATGGGAGACGGGTAGGACAGTACACGGAGGAGACTTTTTAAATGCAAATTTTAAAGCTGAAGCTGCAAACTTCATCTCCTGTTAGATTTTAGGTGGTCAAACAAGAAAGGGATAAACAAACAGCAGTCAGCAGTTTGGACTAAAGCATATTTATTTTAGGCTAATCTCACAACTATAATACAAATACGCTATCATCTTTTTCCCAGGCCTTCAGAGAGGAGATTGCCCCGTTGCGTCAGGACGTTCGAATTGTCAATGAGCTTTCTGCTGAGCTGACACCATTGGACATTCAGCTGTCATCCACAGCCTCGAGACAGCTGGACCAGCTCAACATGAGGTGGAAACTTTTGCAGGTACTTTAAATCCCCCTGAAACCGCTACAGATTTCGGAACAGGAATAGGGTTTTTTTTGTGTGTGTGTGTGTGTGTGTGTGTGTGTGTGCGCGCATTTTTTCCTCTATATTTTGTCACAGTTGTCTAAATGACTTCAAAGGAGACTGCGCCGTCTCGATGTTTTTGTTTTTTGTGTCTCCCTCGCTTTTTTTCACTGTATACCAATTTTACTTTGTCAGCTGAACACACGGGGATTTGGAGCCGTCCCTCTCCCTGTTTACTTGTTTTAGTTGAACGCAGCTTTATGTTCAGTGCGACACTTTGTCACTACACATCACTGCCCACTATTCTCGCAGCGCACCGGTCACATCCTTGGCTCTCTGCACGCTTGATAGTCACAGCTAGACAGTCACGAGTGTTTCTCAGAGTTGAACATGTCTCAGACCTTGAGGAGAAGTCGTGAAAAAGTCTCTTAACAAGTTATTACAAGGAGATAGAAGAGGAGTGGGTTTTGAGCATGAGCGCTGGAGTTGTGTTGATATCCTTTAGACAAGTTTCAGTCATTTTTGTATTCTAATTGGGGATTTTTAAACTTAAAGGTGCACTGTTAGTCAGTTTTTAATCTCTAGATTGCTATGCCAAAGTAGCTTTTCTGTCATGTCTCTTAGATTTAGGGTCCTTGGCATTGATACCCAGTGATGCTTGAGATCTGCAGTGGTAGAGTGCGGTGGGACTTGACCTAAGCGGCTAAGAATGGCAGGAGACAGGTGCTGTCCAGTGTAGCGAGTGATTTATTCACCATTTTGTGATCAAACCATATTTACAAAAAGAAGAAGAAGAAGCTCAACTCCATAGTTAACTCAGTTCAAATAAACATAACTGAACTTAAATCAGTGGAAATTAAGGTCAAACTGCACACAGCTACACTGACCTGGTCCTTTCCCCCCCTGAGCACCTGCATTCATCTGCTTAAATAGTCCACTCGCCCCTGGACTATTCCATTCAGTAGGTAAGATGAACATTATCATACTCAAACCTATACTGCTACTCTTTACTAGCAATAAAATCGCTACGATGTAATCAATACATATTGCACCCAATAAATCCATTTCTGTATAAACACAGTCTAAAATTCTCCCCCTTCTTCACCTGGTCTCTTCCTGTGACCTCAGATTAGCTATAAGCTATTAGCTATAAAGCTATAAATACAGGAAAGTAAAGCTATAATTTCCTCCTTTTGTTCCTGGAACACAGGTAAGTAAGGTGAGTTCAAACTACATCAATTAACAGTTGAAATAAATAACATGTTAACTTAACAAACTTGTCAGAATTGATTTAAACCAAGATGTTGTTGTACATATTCTGTAAAAGTGCAAAACATAAACAATAGTAGATGTTTGCCTATTGCATACTACATATGAAATATGGTTAAATCAAAACAAGAATGTTAACTAAGAATATGGACAAATGGTGTTCTCACCCACTTTGTCACATAGAGGAACTGAATACAGGTTAGATGCTCAGCTGTGGACATGAGACAGATGTAGAGTTTTTTTCTAGTGCAATGTTTTTGAAGCTTCCTTTATAATTGAGGCACACAGTGTGGTTGCATTATTCGGGAATTTAAGCAGGAAAAGAAATGTGGCCCCCCTTCCCCGCTAAGCAAAACTGGTTAGCTGTGCTAATTTGTAGCCCTGTGATATTTTTTTTTTTCCAGTGCACTGCACAGATACCCACTAACAGTCTCGTTGCCTGGAATATGACTATAATTTAGATTGTGAGTCAGAGAAGGGCTTAGTTTCATTCTGTCTCTCTCTGTTGTCCGCTCTTTTCATTTCTTTCAGTCTGCAGGACGGCTTCAGCTTCACTAATAAGCCAGATCTGGCTGTGTAGTTTGATGGTTTGCTTTTCATTTCCAGACAGCTACCATCTTCCTTGCTGTGGGAGAGTGAGGATAATAGTCACTAAGTGGCCAAAAAAGAAACTGAGCTACTGGTCTTTCTGTACCCATTTCCAGGATCCCTCTGTGATCTGGCTGACTTAATACCCGAGACTCATGTGCGAGTCTCAGTATTATAGGCTGCCAATACTGTCCAGCTAGTCAGAATGATGGAGCAAAGCAAATCATGTGCGGCAGGGCACAGGTGCAGTGCCTGAGAGGTCAATACACGGCTCTCAAAGGAGCGCGGGAGTAAGAGTCTGAGTGATTGATAACTTAAATGCTTTTCACACACGTTTTTTTTATATTTTTTGTAAGCAAGCTGAAGTAGTAGTAGAGATAATAACATGGAGTAAACAGCAGTGTTTTAGCATTGATTTTGAAAGTATATAAGATTTTATGTTAACACACAAATAGGCACAGTGTGATTCTGGTGCTATGTTACAACTGCACCCAGACAAAACACCACTCTGTCTCTTCTTTCATCTTCCTGGCACTATGACACTATCTTCTCCATCACACATTCACTCTCATTACACTAGTAGCTTAATATTCCCTGAGGGATCAATAAGGTAGTGCGTTCTTATCGTGCCCTATTCATCTCGTATATCTCCCAATCTCGCCTAATCTCTTTCTCTTACTGTCTTTTCATCTTTATATCGGAGGTTTTTATATTTTTTGTAAGCAAGCTGAAGTAGTAGTAGAGATAATAACATGGAGTAAACAGCAGTGTTTTAGCATTGATTTTGAAAGTATATAAGATTTTATGTTAACACACAAATAGGCACAGTGTGATTCTGGTGCTACGTTACGTTTCTGATCTTTGCAGGAGCATGTTTCTGATCGCCCCATATTGATATATATTTGTTGTTTTTGTGGGATTAGCTCAAAAGTAGAGATTTAGGAAACTTAGTGTTCTTGTGTGCTGCCTGATTTAGCTTCTTATGTGTTTCCCCGTTGAGTTTCTCTCTTCATTTTTCAATTAAAAAAAAAAAACCTTCCATTATTTCTCTGTTTCCCATTACAGTCACATATACCATCAAAGTTGAGAATGCACATGGCACACTTCCATGAAATCTGGATAATGGGTTTCCCTCTGGCCCCAGCACCATGTGTCTACACTAGATGGTGGATTTGTGACCTGCAAGTCTATTTTGGTCCACAGTTACCTGTAATTGTCACTGCAGTGATTTGCTATGGGCTTTGAGCTCATTGTGTGCGAGCGTACAGCCGTACTGTGATTGACTGCATCCGGTGTAGATACTTATTAGCTGACACGTGCATGTAAGCACTCAGTTACCTGCTGTTTGTGGGTTTGACATGTGCTCAGCTAATTGAAGCTGCTTTATAATTTCCAGACAATGCTAAATGTCCTGAAATTGACACCAAGTGCCTGTGAGTCGAGTCAAGACGTGATACTGTGTATATGTATACCTCTATTGGAAATACAGTTTCTTGAGTTGGGGTCTTACAGAAAATCCACTTGTAACTTAATTGCACTGAAATTGAATTCTTTCCAACCATGACGCCAAGTCTAGCCACTGTAAAGTTCTGTCTGTGCGAGCAGAGCCTGCCAGCCCACAGCTGACTGTCTCTTCTTTATGTGTGTGTGTGTGTGTGTGTGTGGTCATCATACAGGTGGCAGTGGATGACAGACTGAAGCTCCTTCAAGAAGCCCACAGAGACTTTGGCCCCTCCTCCCAACATTTCCTCTCCAGTGAGTACCGAGCCTATTACTTCTCTAAGGAAATTATAGATTTGGGGTGACTTGGTTTGATTCCACTCAGTTACACAGTTTCACATCGTCCAATTTCTCTCCCATGCCCCGTCTTTTCATCCTCAGCCATATGCTTCGCCGTCACGGATGCTCAGTGGACACGTGCACGCGCATACACATAGCGTGCAGACGCGCCACTTCACTCATGAATAATGCAAGGCTTAATTACAGCTCTGCACTGACTCCTTCCTCTCCCTCCCTCTTTAGAGTGGTCGTTAGCAGAGCATAGAGAGTTAGAGACAAAGCTGGAGAGAAAAGACAAATGCAGGAGCGTGAACATTAAACAGAGCAGCCAGACTCCGGCTCCCTGCGCCTCTGTCGCGCTCTCCCTCGCTCTCTGACTTTCGTCATTTTCTATAATCATACAGCCATTAGTGTTCTCCCCGTTCCACCTGATTTGCTTTGCTGGCTGTCAGACACGGAGACAAAATGGACGGTGTGCGATTCAGAGCAGGTGGCATGCTCAGCCGGCATGCTGTGTCACCAACAGACACGAGTTTACAAAGTAAGCGCTGCTGAGAGCTCAGCAACTGCACCCAGACAAAACACCACTCTGTCTCTTCTTTCATCTTCCTGGCACTATGACACTATCTTCTCCATCACACATTCGCTCTCATTACACTAGTAGCTTAATATTCCCCGAGGGATCAATAAAGTAGTGCGTTCTTATCGTCCCCTATCCATCTCGTATATCTCCCAATCTCGCCTAATCTCTTTCTCTTACTGTCTTTTCATCTTTATATCGGAGTGTAGAGCTGTGTCAAGGAGGAGGGAAAGTGGGAGGGCGATAAATCAAGCAACATTTCTGCTTCTTATTGCTTTTGAGAACATCTCAAGAGTTATATTTGTCTGGTTTTAACACTTTATAAGCTTGTCATTTTTAAGATTTCCCTTGCTTGTCTGTGTTTTTTGTCTTGTTTTGTGCCCCCAGTTTTTTCTCCCTCTATTTAAAAAAAATAAATAAAAATCTTTTCTTTCATGTCCCATTGTCTCCCTCCTCCGGATTTTCTGCCAAGAAAACAATATCCATTTACCCCACCCCCCCCACCCCAATTTCATGCTGTGTGAGAGTCTTCCTTATACATCTAGACTGTGTTATAATGGAAGTGTTACATGTAAAAATTATTTCAAGTCAAGGTCCAAACACTAAATGGATTATTACACTGCTTGGTGGAATTGTGCAGCATTTATTAAGATGGCGTTTGGATTTTAGTTGCCCGACTTTTTGTCTTTCCCCTCATCTCACTGCTCTCTTTATCTTTGTCTCTCTGTGTCTGCAGCATCTGTACAGCTCCCCTGGCAACGTGCAGTTTCTCAGAATAAGGTTCCTTATTACATCAAGTAAGTGGCGAGAAATGGCTTCGATAGCACTCACTGTGCCTGTATAAACTGTATGCATGCGTCTGTCTGTGTGCTGTAGTAGGTTAGAAAAAAATGCTATTTGAAATGGAATGATTGTGTGTGAGTGATTTTTTTTTTTTTTTTAAATGTCTTTTTTTCCAATCAAATTTGAGTTTGCTTTAATTTTTTGCTTTAATTTTCATTCTTGGGATTTCTTTGTCCACTGGTAGTCTCAAGCACCTGAATTTTATTACATGACCTTTTGCGGCATATGACCATAGTAGAATATTTCAAGTCTAGACTGTGCAACTTTGTAAAGTAATCTCCTAAACGACCTCTAAGGCTTTTAAGGGAGTATTTATAGGGCATGACCCTTTTGTAATTTTGCAATAACTTCTTCCTTTTAAACGGTCAGTTCCCCAAAGTTAAGTCCGTGCAAAGTTCATTTGTACTTATCTGAGAATAATGTAGGCAACTGTCTGTTGAAGTGACAGTGAGCAGGCCGGTGCCATGTGTCATGTCTCTTGGACGCTCTACTCAGGCAGCATCATTGTCTAAACCCTTTCAGCAGGTCATCCACAAATCAGAAGGTTGGTGGTTCGACACCTTGGTGATTAAAGCCGATTAGATAGTAGGTGCAGAAAATGACTGGTGTTGACTGATGATAATGGTATGATGGGGTTTGAATGGGTGAACGAGGCATGCTGTATAAAGTGCTGTGAGTGCTCAAGTAGACTATGCATTCACACTCAAGTGATCAGGAGCAACTGCTACTTTTGACCGTCGCATTTTCTGCCTTCAGATTTGGTAGAAAAGTTGAAGTTTGCACATTTATGACATCTTTATTCATCTCAAGGTAGATTCAGATGCGGGCAGTATGGTGCAGACCGAAATGATCTGCATTTTGAAAATGCTGAGAGCTGATTGTGAAACGGCTCATTATTATCGGATCTTTTCAGTTTTTTCTTTTGTGCGTCAGAGCTGTACCTCTTGTGACCTCCGGTAAACACTGCCTGGTCATGGATCTTAGTAGCTCTTTGTTTTTCCTTTGTATTTTCTGTGCATTTTCTTTGTCGTCCAATTAAGAACTTCTTTCTCTCGCGATTGGTTTTTGTCTGTAAATTACCATTCAGGCTGTTTCACCTGCACATTTCACATTCAGTTCAACAGTAGCACTTCCTTTTGAATAGATAATATCTGGCTGAATCCCAGGACTGCTTCCCGTATTCTTCTAACAGTGGCTGTAATGACTTTAGCTTGACATCTCGCTTCCCATTCTAATTTTTTGCCAAATCACTCCAAACTGCAGGTTTTTGCTTAAACGGGCAGAAATGGCGTCCAGGACAGCTTTTCTACTGCTTAGGAGATGTCAGTTTTGAAAGCATAAAGGACCTCATTATCTAAAAAACATCTAACTGTACGTCAGTAAATTGCTGCCTTAACCAGATCTACACTTATTTTTGTGTAGCGGTTAGAAAACTCTATTTCAGCTATCATTTATCAGTTCTGCTGCTCTCTGGTTTCTTTTATAACGCTGTTACTGCCTGTATTTATTTTTAGGATGATAAAGTGGTAGCGTTTTTTCAGGTTGCCCTCCTAAATCATCCTGTGCCCTGAGTGGAAATGTCACCGTCTCAGTTAAAATTGTCAAATGGCCATTTACACAAGGGAAAAACCCCACTTGTTCACTGTCCACAGAACAGTCCACAATAAAAGCTACAGCTATGAAGATTTAAAGATACAGTCATGTTTCGGTAACTAGTTAAATGTCTTCAAAAAAAGTTTGATGAATTCATTTTCCAAAAGATTCTATATTATTAAGTGTGGTCACAATCTCAGCTTGGATAGTTTTATTTTTATGTAGAAAATCTGTCTGTTGTTGTTTATTTAGTGATGCGTTTGTGTGCATATAGGCAGTAATGAAGAAAAACAAAATTTCATAATAATCTTTTTTGCTGGACGGTATTAAGAGGCTTAAGCGTTAAATCATGTTAATAAGACAATGTTTATGTACAGCCTTGTGAATGGTGTCTAAAAGCCTTGTGTTTTTAGAGGAAGAGGCATGTAAAGCCATTTTTAGATTGAATAACAAGACAACACCGTTTTCTGCCTGACTTTCAGTCTCTGACACTATTGTGGAGACATTTTGAACCAATCTTTTTTACAACGTGGCTTCACTTCGTTGAGGTTTGTAGGTATTTGTTTATGCACTGCTCTCTTGGGGTCCCGCCACAGCATTTCAGTCACTATTTAGCTGTCAGCCTCATATTTGTTACACAGAGGAGTTTATGGCTGTGAGGTTCCCTGTGGCTGCCAAACAAGCTCAAATCATCACCCCTCCGCCACCGTGCTTAATAGTTGGTGTGAGGTGTTAGAGCTGGTATGCTGTTTGCCAAACGCATTATAGTCAAAGGGCATTGTTCCAGAAGTCTTGTGCTTTGTTTTTTGTTTTTCAGAGAGGATTTCTCTCTTTATTTTCAAACAATCCATGCTTGTTAAGTTCTTTTCTCTTTGTACTCTCATGAACTTTAACATTTTTAACATTTAAGCTGCCGATTGAGGTCTGTAGTCTGAGATGTAGCTCTTGGGGCATTTCATGGTGTGAATTTGCTGGGATGTCCATACCTGGGAAGTCTGGCATTGTATTCACACAACCACTTTCTCCAGAACATTAAACTGCCAAAGCTTCTGCTTTTATAGAGGTGCTCACACTTACTGGTGATGAGGTGCTGAGGTGCACTTGATTAGCATTTGATTAGCAGCACCTGACTGCTTCTTACCCTCTTAATTTAGATGTCAACAGTAAGGGCGTCTGAAAAAAAATCTTTGTTTTATATGATAGGTCCCCTTTAAAGAGCTAGGTAATGTCTAGACGAAGACAAACATGGGATTTATATATAGAGAGAGGGGAGGGACACCTGCTTCGGGTTTGGGCCTGCATCTTGGCACTAGAAAGGGTTCAGATGTGAAAGCCAGTGACTCGGAGGACAGGCTTTATAACTTTAGTCAACAACAGCCTGTGATCACAGATGTGGCCAGCCAATGAACCTGCGTCCACCCACTCATACAAACACACAAACAAAACACAGGGGTATTTAAGTACCTGGGGCACATAAATAAAGTGTCCCAGGTACTTAAATTTAATAATCGAAATTTTAATCATATACGTAATAATTTAAATATGAATGTTGCAAAAACTTATTTTTACTCAATGATCATCTCTCATATGGACTATTGTTTGACGTCCTGGTCACTTGCTTGTCCAATAACACTTAAAACTATTGAAAACATTTATAAAAGACGTTTAAAACTACTTGACAAAAAACCGACTTCCCACCACCACTGTCATGTGTTAAAAAAACATAAATTACTGAACTTCAATAACTTAGTGAAACTTAAAAGAGTGAGTTTAATATATAATGTCTTACACTCCCTTGCTCCACCACCACTAAAGCAGTTCATTAGGCATAAAGAAAGCTCAGACAGGACCACTCGAGCTACAATCCGAGGAGACTTGTTTATACCCCACAGACGGACAGCATTTGGGCAGAACGTCCTTTCTGTCCAAGGTGGCCATCTGTGGAACAGTTTTCCTCAACCCATTAGAGAATGCTCGACATTCAATTTGTTTAAGGAAAAGGTTAAAAACTGGTTATGGACAAATCAAGTGTGTGATCATGTATGAGTTGTATAGTTTTAATGTTTTATTTGGGAACAGAATGGTGTGTATGTGTAAGTTTGGTGATGGAGTTTTTATTATGAATGAATGATGAATTTTTATGAATTATTATGTCTATTTTTATGCTTAAGGACAACAGATGGAAATTAGCCCTTGGCTATAATCTGGTATGTTTACATTCATGTAATTTTTTTTTTTTTTTTACATTTATGTTCATTAACATGCACTGTCCTAAATAAATAAATAAAGTATTCACAGAAAACTGTACACAGAAATGTATTTAGAGACACAAGCAGTGATATATATTTTTTCTATTTCAAATTGAAGCTAGTCTACAGCAGTATCCTCCTTTCTCACATCCACACATTTGGCCTTGGAGGCAGTTTTAAAATTCCACCTAATTTGTTGTTTGAATTCAAGTCTAAATCCATCTCCAGGACTAATCACAGGTCGCTTTTTGTGCCGTGACATCCTTGGGACATCAGTGCCTCTCTCTGAAACATTCATTTCCCCAAACTCCTCCCCATCTCGTCTCCCATCTCCTTTCATACTCTGCCTCTTTTCTCCGGGCTGACAAAGGGCCTCTGATTAAAACTGTGTCTTTGTCCACCCCCTGTAGCGAGCAGTTCCAGTGACATTTTGTGGGGAAACTGAAATGGCTTCACATAAGTTCAGTGTATTTATTGCATCATGCTGGCAACCTCATATGCTTTCCCATTTCACCACTGGCACCCTCTCGACATTCGAAGAAATCTTTGGTTGTGCTGTCTGTCTGTGTTTGTGTTAGGAGACATTTGGCACTGTGAAATGGTGCCAAACGGTTATGGTGGGGTTGA